CGAGTCGATAAAATATAACCAGTTGCATTCCTGCCGGAATTAACTTCAGTTACACAGGTGCTATGCAGATTGACAGAGTCAGTTTTTATTGTCCCATGCCGAATACATTCTAGCTCATAATTTATTTCCCGTGGTGCATTTATCTGTGCCCTCGATAACATAAAATAATGATTAGGACATAGTCTAATTATCCTGTCATTTTACTACATTTCAACGATAATCAGTGGTCGCAGACAGTGCATAATGTACAAAGAGAGAGTGAGAGGGAGGGTGTTTCAGTGGCCATCTGTATGACAGCGGTTGATTGCAACACACTACAGATCGTTCGCACCTGAAACATTCAGAGTTACCAATCGGGTGATACTTCGTCAAATCATAGAGAAAAGAGGGAATTCGGATTTCGCAATCGTAATCATTTTCAACGTTACTTTTACGTAGGAAATGTTCCTGAAGTTCAATTGAAATGAGTGCGCCTTGTAGTGTTGACTAAAGAGGAGTATTTTCTTCGTATATTTTTCTCAACAGTTATCTCGTTGGCAAGAAGAGTATTTCAGGGGCATTGGGCAACAATCAAAGTTATTTTACTTTTTCTGAAATAAGCTTTCGTGGGCAATTCCGCTTGAAACGGATGTGCTAAATCTGGTATCGGCGACTGGTTAGCTTAGTTGGAAGGGCTGGGCAGGGAATTTTTTTGTCAAATACATCAACAAAATAGCATGTGTATTTATAGTTAGACATATTTTTGTTGTGACAGTATTTTTTGACAGTGCATTCCAATCAGGTAGATTTGTTTAAAACAAAACAAAAAAGCTCTGCAGACTAATTTGCTGGCAGTGTCCACATAATGTTTATAATTTATGAGGAGCTTACCAGCTCAGGCTGACTGAACCTCTTCGAATATAATACGAACGTTACTATGAACGCAAGTATTATGGCTGGATTGCTTCTGCCGATCATTGTGTATTATGCGGGTGATTTTTTTCAATGAATAAGCCTTATATGTGTCCTTTGAGAATATTTTTTCATCCATAATTCAATAGACCTGCTCTGCAAATGCCTTTATCAGAAACTATTTCCGGGCAAGGCAATATTCATCCATGAGGTCAACCCTTTCTATGTCTAAAATGCAGTGTGTGGTGAGACATACCTGCATGCGACAATGCATGGGCAAATTGCTTTCTGGGAATTAGGCCTACCTCACAAGCTCAATAAGACTCCATTCTCCTATATACCGAATAGTCAGTCATTTTCATAAATAATAAATGTGAAAATATATTGCCAGGCGTTCTGCAATGAAAATGATTTAGAGTTTAGGGGAATGCTAGGATAATGTGTTCCCTGTCAGAAAAAAAAAGAATATTAAACTGGTAGTAATGACAAGTGCGAAAGCAGTCAAGAAGTCTGCGAACGATAACAATGTTGACCCTTTATATATTAGATTTTAGGATAAGACGGTGTTTTCTTTAATCAGCGACACCCCTCAGTATAGGCTGGAATCACACGTCACGTTTAACGTTAATCAGTCATGACGACTGTAATGTGCAAAAAAATATATATGTATATCGAAGTGAAGCCTTATATAGGTTTGGCTATATCGACAGGTAAAGCAATCAAGGTTTGATGGAGATGGCGACTGTTTCATTTACAGAAATAATAATAGATGCAGTCCACGTTATTAATAATAATTTCACGTGGGGCAAATTCCATTTCATATATAGCAGATGACTCAGTCGACGCGGAATACGTACTTCACTGTAGAGAATTACGAGCGCACTAAACAAGTAATTTGTACATAGAAACCTAAAAAAATTGTGCTCAAACGTACTAGAAAAATTGCTCCCATATCAATCGAATATAAACAAACCTATAAACCTATTGTTGCTTACATAAAACTATACAAGCAAAACGGAAGAGGACAAACCAACTTGACAGGATTTCGGCGCGGAGAAAGAATAATTTTAAAAATCGGGGAACTTTTGTAACTGTATAGGTTTGCATGTGAGCGTGTCAAGGTCATTTCAACTAAACATGATTGTTAAATCGTTGGATTTTATTTTTCGGTTGTATGCTGAAGTCATTCATTGAAAAAAAAACTTCGACCTTCTCAGGCTGTCTTATTGGTCTTGCACGTCCAAACAAAACAAAATCAGATATTGATGAACTGTTACGTCGATTCCCGGTATTGTAAATGATGGCTACTTTATATTTTGTCAAATAATCTCAGAATAATGGTCGAGTGGATAGGCATATAGACAGTAAACTCAATATGTGTTCCGTTTCTCCCAACATCGTGGTAATTTTATGACTGGTTGCTAGGATACCTGAATTAAACTGCAGTGATGCTGAGCATATTTTATGCAGTTGATGCACAGACGTGAATGTCAGGTGAGCTACACTTGAGTGAAGTTGACTTGATTATTATTCGCGTTCCGCGCGGCTGCCGGCACGTTTTGAATTACTAATGTGGGTGACATATCCCGCTTTTGGGAATGTACGCTACGTGTTTTCATATCATTTGGCAAATTGTTGGGATGCAACGATTTTGGGAGTTACATTTACAATGATTCACAGTTCCGCAAACTAAATTCCTTGTCAAGTTGTTAACACTTTAATGTCCGGCTTTTTCATATTTCATTAAAAGCTAGTATTATTGTTTTTCTCCCCTGTGTTTCTTTAGCCATATTACCCAAGTTATCGATCCAACAACATCAACCACGGTCAATAGGATATGCATAGGCCAACTGTTGAATTAAATTTACATACAATGCCAGGAACCAAATACAGGAAAGCTTCAAATCGCTAGATAAGACAATTGAAATGACCTCTGTTTGCATGGTAATTTCCCTTAATATCTATTAGGCGGAATGTATCAGTGATTTTATGATACTGAGCAATTACCCTTCAATCCTCGATCGATCTGTACGACTTGACGGACGGGGCGTCTATTCGGGGTAATCAGGAATTTCTTTGCGTGGCTTTTTGCCTATTTGTTATACTCTCAAGCAGCGAAGCGAACACATCAATGTACGTCGTCTGTCATGTATGTTGGATATCCTGTTCTTCAGATTGTTGCACAATGAATGTCAAGTGTTACAATACATGCAGGAAATCATTAGCATTTGAAGCAAGAGAACCCCCCGCCTTTGTGTTGGTCATTGTTTGATCGGAATCTCAGAAATTCTTCACAGACTTCTAGGGGGATGTGTTAGGTAACAGTAGTCTGGAGTGTGTATAGGGATTGGACAGGTGGGGGTACCCCTCCGTCCCATATCTTGCTTGGTATACTCGTTAGTGTCGAGCTGTCTACACAGAAACACACCTTTCGGTTGGCATCAATTTGCGCCACTTCACTGCCGACTGAGCTAAGTGATAGGGCGATATGTCAAACCATAGAGCGAGGAGTTAATCGTTGTAGAAAACGACTGGTGTGAAGACGACCAAATCGAAACCAACATTTTACGGACAGAAGTAAACTGGGAATGCATCAATGAACATATGGAGTGAGTCATTCATGTGCCATGTACGCAAAATGGGGTTCACAGGAGGCGTTTTCGCGGTCTCTACTTTCAAGTGGAGCAGCGGAGGGTTCAGTAGACTGGCCGCCAGTCTGGGGCAGTGTTTTATACCGTTTTCAAAAACTCGGTTTGAGCTCTGTCTCGGCTTCAACTTTTTTTTTTTACTTCCTGACTTTGAGGTTGTGAGCGCAATAGTAAGTCTGATAGTGCCACAAAACATCAATTAAGATGCAAAAGAGCCAAACATTACAGTACTTCAATTTAAGTTAAACGCTTCAGGCCCACAATCAGGGATTGGTTTCCTACACGAAGCCTCCACGTAGCGGAAGTTGAGTATTGGAAAACGGCCCTATTTCGAACAAAGGGCGTCTAAAGCCCAGACTGCTTACATTATCGTTGCCAGTGCTAGACGTCAAACTCGACTGGACCTGCATGCAAACTGCTGTACTGTAACGTGCATTTTTCCTCTTACACGTCTGGAGAAACAAACGTTCAGTGAAAAGCAGAGCGCGGCTAAAAAGAGCTAGAGCTACTACGTGGCGCACACGTTACGTCAGTGAAGAATTTCCTTCTTATTTTCAGTCGTGTACAAGTAGTTTACGGTAGGTGTAATTCTTTCACGACTCGACACCTGTCCGTGTCATGCATCATGCTTGTCTGCCAATGGACCCATGAACTGTAGTCTGTGATGTAGTGTAGGCTACATGTATTGTCTGGCTGTACGTATGGTACATCATAAGCCTTATCGCGAATATTGCATGGGTGATTTTGCACAATGGTAGAAAGGAATTGTGGGAAGGCAAAAAGAGCAAACACTGCCCCACACTGCCTCATTTTCCTTCCCATGATGCCTTTCTACCATTGTGCTAAATCACCCATGCAGTATTTGCAAATAAGGCTTTTAACCCTAGCAACAGTACCGGGCGTTGTTTGGCTTAGAGTACTCAGTACTACAAAAAACTGTGTAACACTCTGAGCCTGAAGGACCTAGCGCTACAAATTACTCTTTCTTGCTAGGTTTATTCCATTGTTACTCGTACAGAGAACATTGAAACCATGTATTCATAGTGCCACAGCGCTGTATGGTACATTGTATTCTCTATTGTATTTTATGGCTTCAGAGAATAATAATGTCATGTCCTCTTACAAGCGACAGGGCTGAGTGCTACCTTTTACTACTAAGTAGTACTTTGTAACATTCGGGACTGTAGGTTCATATGTACAGCAACATGTTGTGTATGTAACATGTTCATATTCGTACTAGTACTAGCACAAGTAGTGGCCATTGATACAGAAATTTAGATATGTTGGACAGCTTTCTGTCAGCTTTTTCACCAGTTGGGTCCACTTCAGGGAAGAGTTCCACGGATGTCAGTATTTATTCCCTGCAGTGACTTACATGTAGCCATCAGAAAGTAAAATACAGAGTACAACAAGGCCAGTCTATAACCATGACAATGAATGGATCGTGGATATAAAGGAAATAAATATGTGCTTCGCTGTTGTGTTTAAGACCAGCTTAGGAGAATAAACAATGATAGACGCCACTAAGGCCTGAGTGTGGCTCGGGCATCATCACTATCAGCGTTGATTCTCCTGAGCTGGTCTTAATGTTACTGACAAGCACATACATGTACTTATTCCCGTTCACATTCATGACATTATTCATATTGTTTTTGTTTGAGAGCTAAAGTAGTCATTATACATGTTCATGTACGATAAACTTCCAAGTATTTTATTCCAGAATTTTACTGTTGTCTTCCTGTACAGCCCATCCATTTTACATGGTATACCCCGAAATCTTTGTGCAAGTAATCTGAAAGAATGTGGCATGTTCTGCGTGCCGTGGCACACACAGACTCTTAACAGCATGTAATAAGAATGGACTAAACTGTCTCATATCCTGGTGTCAGTGTGTTTTTATGGAATGAGCATTATCAAATCACAGCCGGCATTATCTAATGGGCACATTGCAAGTTGCTAAATTGGGAAACTCTCTGATTTATTCTTAAATTCCCTTTAAAAGAAGTACTCCAGGGGTATGCATCTGCCAGAAAAAGAAATGTCAGATATTTAGCTGTCACGGGCTAAATTTAACTTATCTAGTGAAAACTGTTGTTGGCTACATGTAGCTACAAATAGACAGTGCACTGTTTGATGCACACGACGAAGCTAATAAAAGTTGTGTACCACGAGTATACCACTAGGGTCAGTGGATTACTAGACAGCGCACACATCTTGATATATCCTTTGATAGCTCTGAACCGGGTTGGACTCCTACAGTAGCTATCATCCTTTTTTTGGTACCGAAAAAATTCAAGGTTTCTTTATACATTGTTTTTGAGTTGACTTTTTAAATGAAAAAGTGTTCATGTTTTTTTGTGATTCACAGCTCTGGACGATATTTTGGGGAAAAGAACTGAAATTATTAAATGGTCTTATTCCCTCTTTGTGTTTACAAACTCACAAACACTACTGGTATGTTGGCACAGAACCAGACTAAGATTTGTGACGGGAAGAATTTCTGTGTCCCCTAAACCAGTTACTGGATATGTACGTGTTTATGTTTGGCTAACTATTGGTTTGTTTTATTACATGTAAGTTGATAAATATCCTTCGCCAAAAAGAAGAGAAAAATTTGTATTGAATGTAAATATGCAATGAGACTGAGAAAAAGAAAGTCAAGAAAGAAAAACAAATGGAAAAAATGGATATTGATTCCACATGCTGGGATTGCAGGACAGTATATAGGCGATCGATCAGGCTAGTCCAATGACAATGTTACACTTTCACAGCTTGAAGTTTAATTGAGGTTGAACATGTTAAAATTGTGTATCATCACGTTACTCGGTTAGAACAGCCCAAAATTACTTCATGACATTGCAGCCTACAGATTGAGATTCATTTTTGCACTGGCTTACCAATGATGTCTTAGTACCCCTTGCCATGTCTGCTGGTTTTGCTGGGCATATACATGTACATGTATGTTGCTGTTGTTCCTTTTTTGCCATTTACAGTGAAAACAAACCAGCTGTCAGACTTCACAGTAATGACAAAATTCTAAAATTAGGGACCTGCCAACTATACAGTTACAGATGTTAGACATTGATAGAGATTGTTCAGTTAGTGTTGTCTTTTGATTCTTTTTCGTACAGTCTTGAAGATCTTGCATCACATTAACTACGATGAGGATTTTTGTGGCACTGTTTGTTATTCTGATAGCTGTATTGGTACTGGCTGAAATTGGAGAAGCCAAGAAAAAGAAAGAGCCTCATAGATCAGAAGGTAATGTTACAATTTCCCCCAAAACCTAAAATCAGTGGGTTCCCCCAAAATTGAAATACTTGTATGTTGTAATATATGCCTTTCAAAAGGCTGTCATTGTTGTAACTGTTACCTTTTTGTCGTAAGAGTAACATCATGAACATAGACATTTCAAAATTCAATGCTATTTCCTGTGTTCAGTAATCATGTCAGAGCAGCTTTGGCCATCAGTTATTACATGTACACATTTGTAAGTAATACAGTCCCGATGTGTCTTGCATGGTTTCTATAGCAGAAGCTGCTGAAGATGCTGGGCGTCACCGTGGCAACAGGCAACGTGAGAAAGAGAGAAGGGGCAAGAAAAACCGTGGACGCCAAAATGGGGAACAAAGCAAGTTTTGTTAATTTATGTGCAGGGGTTAGGGGTTAAACAATTGCAAAATATGAAGGGAAGTTTAACTCTAACCCCCTTGGGACCGTTGAAATCCTGCATACACTTGTTGGGTTGAGAATGGTCAGGGGTTAAACAATTGCAGAATACTTCTTATTCAGAATTATCAGTTGCACACAAATACAAAAGAGAAAACATGGCTTAATTAAAATACATGTACATGTACATGTATATACTTTATAGAATCATAAAGGATTCATACATACTATGTATACTTTTGCCATTGCTTTCAGAGATATACCCATTTGATTTGTAGTATATGTTTTGTTGTATTAAGTGAATTGAAAACTCATTTTTTGAGTATAACGGATTCATACATACTATGTATACTTTTGCCATTGCTTTCAGCGATATACCCATTTGATTTGTAGTATATGTTTTGTTGTATTAACTGAATCGAAAACTCATTTTTTGAGTATAAAGGATTCATACATACTATGTATACTTTTGCCATTGCTTTCAGAGATATACCCATTTGATTTGTGGTATATGTATGGTTGTATTAACTGAATTGAATTAACTCAAATCTTTTGAGTATGCATCTTTTGTCCATTGTATTTTTACTTTCATATACTTTGTCACTGTTATTATTTCAGCTGATGGGGATGTAGCAGATCAAGATGATGCCACTGCTGACACTGAAGCAATGGAACCTGAAGAGCCTCAGGTTTAATGTCAAATCTTGTTTCATAAGTGATAACTGATGAGCAAAGTAAAATATTTGATTCCCAAATGTGGTGCCGATCTAATGATTTGGAGGTCGGTGGCTTTAAAGTTGACCCTCAAAATTGTTAACATTGCCTTTCTCTTATTAGGTTTTGAAGATAATTATTGGTCGTTTATTTTTTTTTAACTCAGGAGGTGCCTGAAGCTCAGCCTCAAGAAGAAAGTTCGGCTCCAAGGAGAGGCAAAAAGAGACAGAGAGGTACATATATATGAACCCCATATGATCTCTTCTTTGGCTTTTTGAGAGAGACCCTTCATTTTAGTTTTAAAGGCGGTTTACATGATTGGCCAAATCTCTAAAATTGGATTTCCAAAATTATCTCAATTTAAGTGACATAAGTAAATAACAGCATCAGACAATCTGTGACACACTTTCTTCTGGATTGCTGTCATTTGAAAAAAACAGATACATATGTATATACTGATGACTTGTTTTTCTTTTTGAATCCACTGAACCCTCCGAACCTCAAACTTTTTCTCCCATCAGGTTTTAAATACACAAGTTAAAAAAATGAGTCCTCTGTGATACATATGGGTAAACTCTACTTTATAAGACATATTGCAGAAAAATATCCCCCGTTGTTGAACTACAGCTTTCAGTTCAACGGCTGTTATTGGTTGCTACTGTATACACCTGTACACTCTTTTTTTGAACAAAGGTGAGGGAAAAGGAGGAGCCGAGCCAGACAAGACAGCTCGTAGGGCAGCCAAGGAAGAGCGCTTGCAGAAAAGACTTGAGAAACAAGCAGAGAAGGAAGCACGTAAGGAAGGAAGAGCAACTCGCAAGGAAGCACGTAAGGAAGCTAAAAGAGAATCGAAACAAGCTGCTAATGCCGAGAGGAAACAAGCGCGCAAAGAAGCTAAGAAGATTCAACGACAAAACATGACCAGTGACTGTACTGAACATACTGAATGCCCAGCAGGTAGGTATTTGTGCCTCAGGTCAGTTTAATAATTAACTCTAACCCCCAAGGGTTTATGTGAAATCATACTGAAATCAGAGGATTTGGGACTGTTAGACATGATTTTAGTCAAGATACATGTACATAATCCATACCAGAAGACGACAAAGGATACACGAGTTAATACCATACATGGAATGAATTCTGCTCATATGAGAATACTGATATTCCTTTGGAATGCAAGGCTGCTGTCGTATATGTATGGGAAACATAGGCATTGGAGGTTGTGTTAATACTGAGCCAGTTGCATGATGGTAAATAATTGAGGATATTGAGGGGTAGCAAAGCCTGTCAATTCCAATGTAGAAACCTTGTTTTTAATTCACCTGCACTTCTTATTCATTTACAAACAGGAAGCTGTTGCCAACATCGTGGAGCTGTGCAGAAATGTCGTGTTTTCAATAAACCAGAGGGCAGTAGGTGCTTTGCTGATTGTGTTTGTGCTGAAGGTAAGTCTTATCGGGGAAACAGCCTCTTCCTCCATCAGCCATCTATTTAAACCTTTCATTTTCAGCCCTTCTTGGAGGGCTTGGTATTGCTGCAGCCTTGTGTTTGCATTCATAATCACACAATAGAACTTTGCAGCCAATTCTAGCAGTTATTTGTTGTCACTACTTGAAATGCGTGATCTAAGAATTTTTCTTGTCCAGGTTTGGAATGTTTTATTCGTGAGGGCAAGCAGTCGAAGCATCCAGATGGTAGTGCAAAGGGACGTTGTCGTATGGTAGGAGATGAGCCAACCAATGAGGAACAAGCTCAAGATGAGGAGTAAATCACGGAGATTGAAGAGGACAGGATGGGGTAATATGTTCGGTACAGGGTTCATAGTAAGAAGGATTATGAGTGAGAGTAGGGAATAACATCAAATACTAACAAGAGGAAAAGTTTACTTCTTAGTGTTATATTTGCGTATAATTATGTGCTAATGTTGTTCAGGTTGTAGTTTCTACTGGTAATCCTGACCCATCGGTTGACTCGTGATGAAGTTCATTTCTGCCACAAATGTTGATATCAGTTAAATATATGAAAGGCTTCATTCCAAAATCAATTTCCTACACCATTCAGATATTGAGCAATGTTTCCACAATTAATGGATATTTAAGATAAAATAGAGAGGTCTCCCTAAATGTTAGCTTTTCATTCATCTGACTCATTGAGTCAGAAAACCCCTGGAAACTGGCTGGAGGCAACTATTAGAAGGTGAAATTCAGAGTAGGACTGAAATGGCACTTATCTTGATTTGGAAAAACCCCTTCATATTATGTGCTTTCTTTGTAGAGGATACGTGAAATGACGTGCTAACATTAGTGTCTCTTTTTTCACAACTCTGTAACCACATAGCTGCTAAAACTTGTAGAATAGAGGCCTTCTTGGCCAATTGCAAAGGCCCAAAAATAGTTGTGCTTCTGATTACACGCCTCTCCAAAATAGGTTTTAAATGGCTTCAATTTTTCAGTTCTGGTTAAATGGCATGAATGGGGATGAAAGCTTACAAAATTTTCCATAAAAAAAGATAAGAACTTGCCTTAATCAATGTAACAGTATCTACAGTCAACAGTTATTCAGAGTTATGGACAACAGAGCACCATGCACAATGCTAGTCGGGTAATCATGACGGCAAACTGGCTAATTATGTCGAGTGGTAATGCGTGTTGCATTTAGAGGGGTGGGCAATAAACCTTTGCTGTGGCAGGAAACTTTGTGGTAACACGCTTACTTCAAATACGTGTACCAGCAACAGAACCTCAAATTAAATTCATGAACGCAGAAAATTATTCCATTGGTGAGAGATCAAGTTCTGTGAACTAACAGAATCAATGTTTTTACTGTATAGCTGCCTGCATGTATGGTGTAGTGGAACGACGCTATTTTGGCTAGGATGCATAGACTTCTGCATTTCTATCACGCCGCCTTTAGCAGAACCAGTGTAGGATTGCTTCATATGCGATGAGCATTACTGCAAACGTGTTTTCACCATTGCGATGGCAAAACATAAAGGGAACTTTTGAAAATTATGGCAGTTTATTTCAGAAGTTGCAAGTGTAAGAAGGAAAACATGTAAATACAACTGTTTTAATGTTAAAAAAAGGTTGTTCAGAGGTGTTTTGTATTCTTGAAAATATCTAAAATTTTGTTTTCTAACTTGCCAATAAAAATTTAGGTTCATGCCGAAAAATTAAGGTTGGTTAGGAAACCGGAAGCAGAACTATTTTTGGGGGGCTCAATTAATAAAGTTTATGTCCCTTGCTTTGTTGTAGGTTCAAGGCAGTTGGGTGTTGAATTTCCTTTGAATCATGATTATCAAGCTGTATGAATATTGTTGACTGTTTTTTATGTTTTACCAAACTTACTAAGGTTAAATGCACAAAAACTTAACTGTGTTTTACAGATTCTTACATTTTGTACGTCCTAAGTGTGAGTTTTTATAGATTTATTTTTAAGTTCCTAAGTTTGAATGATTTTCAACCCTTTGAATTTTTGCAGGATCGATGGTGTGCTAATTTGTACAATGTTAAAAAGTCTGTGTTTGTGTTAGTTCTTGTTGACAGGATGAAAGGAATTGAAACAAAAGTTGGGTTGTCCTAAATGTGTGATGAAATTTTAGTTATAGTTTTCATTCTGAAAAATGCAACAATACACTTGTCACTGACAGATGCATGTACATTCATTTATTTAAAATCTCCATTTAACCTGTAGAATAACAAGAATCATGTTTGTATTGTTTTAGTGCGGTAAGAAAAATATTTCTATTCAAGTGAACAAATTATCGCTAACACTTTCATTGTACATTAGCGTATGTTTTCATTGCAGTTTGGGAAATCTCATTTTTTTCTATAAAGGCGTTTTGTGAAGCATTTAGCATTATAATTGTGAAAGGCTAAAAAGCTTTTCCCTGAATAAAATACAGTAATGTTGAATGATTTCAAGTCGCATTATCTGTGTAAGGTGCCAAACAAGTGCTGCTTACATTGTAGGAAAAATTTCTGCAGAGTTGTACATGCATTTGGAGTTTCAGTTGACTAAATGATCCAAACAATTCTTCATCCACTTTGAGACTGATAACGAAGTAACTTGGACTTAACTGGCAAATGAAAAAATCAATTTATAACCATTCTGTTTATTCAAACCACCCCAATGAAGCTTTAACAATGAGGTACATGAATATGCTATAAGTAAGTTGTTGCCATAAAGGTAGTGCCAAAAGCGTGTTCTAAAGGCAATTATGTTGACGCACAACAAAAGTAATTTTTATTGATATACACAAGTTACGTTTTCCCATAATAACGGTGTTTTGAAATGCACTGATAAACACCATTGTCACCCTGTTTAGAGAGTACTTAGTAATCATGGCAGTTTATTATATAAAACGTGCAAAGGGTACTTTAGTGTGAATGTATGAAGCTAACTTGGTTATACTCGTTGAAAAATGAACATTTTGGTCTCGATTCACTGAACATAAAATAGACCCCATTGTTTGCACAAGTAAGTATACCCATGGTTCAACGTATACGCAAATTTATCGGGCACAAACCTGATAATCATAATCTTGAATTATGTTGCTGAAAGAAATTTGTTGGAACAAGCAGCACTCATGTTTGCTGCTGACATTTCAACATTGGAAGGAAAAATTCCAATACAGCTGTTGCTCAGAAAGGACATTTTTTAAACTAAATAATATTAATTTTGGTGAAAGTAGGGACGGTAGCGTAGGTTTTGTCTGTATCGTTATTCATTCATAGTATATTGCAGTCATGGTAATGTAATTCTATTTAGCAAAAGAGGTGCAGTATAACCACATTTAAACCACGCTTACATTATGAGAAACATTTCTTATTAAAAAATATTTAAAATCTCGACATATTTTGTGTGGTCGTTCACTCCAGGGTGGATAAAAAAGTAAATCAAAGGTTAAGGTGATTGTTCACTCACATACTGTAAATCTAGGGAATTTGTATTTACCTTAAGTTGATTGTTAGGGTGTTTAGCAATAAACGGAAGAAATGACAGGTAAAACTTATAAATGGCAAATGGGTAAAATTAGGGGCCCATTTCTGTGTGTGTGTGTCCCTGTCACACCTTACATGATTTTGTAAGTTCAGAACACATTTTCTTATATCCAAGAGTGATGAATAAATGCAAATTACCTGCCAAACTAATGGGAATACTTTGAAATCGATTTTGGTGATATTTCCCTGGCAAATAACAATGGTCAGGTGTAACAGGGACATAAAAATGTCACACTTTTGGACCCCTGATATCTGGAATTACCCATGTACAAACCTGGTTTGTCTGCACGAGCTTCATCGCTCGTAAGCATGATTGAACACGACGAAGGGATGTACATGTAAAGTGATCCACTTTTGACAGCCATTTTCTGAAGCCTTTATCTGAAACATCTTTCTGGTATGCGCGCAAGACGTGAATCATTTTCTCTGATGAATGGGAATGGGTTAGCTTGTGTATTGAATAACAAATCTAGTAAAAACGGCACTTAACATCCCCGACAACGAGGGGCATTCGCTTCAACAACATATTTCAAAACAGGCAGCAACGTGCTACCTTGCACAACAGCGTTGGCAGAACAGATTTCCCGGGTGTTAGAGTGCCGTCAAAGTCAGCTTTTTATAAGATAAGAATCTTTAAATTTATGGAATTGTAAACAGAAATAAGAATGGGAGTGGACGTCCAGGTCAACTGCAAATGTTGCAACTGTTAGGTCCGAGAGGAGTAGTCAACGAAATTGTGTGCGCAATGTCTCCAGAACTTCAGTGTACATGTACTTATAAAGTTATCGCCCCACCAGACAATCGGGAAAGTTGGATCAGCATCAAATTTGCCTACTCGCTGCATTGAGTCGCCATAGAAAGCCTAGAGGTGCGTTGACATTAATAATGCTAGGCATTTTTGTTTGCCCAACGTTGGGTACCACGCGAACACATTGCACATCAGGCTAACACATAACCCGACCGCGTTGATTCTCTCCCTGTAATATAGACCGACTCTTTGTACCCAACAAATGTAGGATGTGTTATTTGTAGCAGGCCTACAATGTACCACTCTTTTACTTAATGTTATGCACTTTTTGCCTACCAGTCCAGCTATTAAGTTAGGGAAATGACCCATTAAAACTGGTTGCTAACTGGTAACTCTTATATTAAAAAGAAAACAGCTTCTTGCTATTGTCTTGAATGTCACAGTGAAACCAGCGGATAAAAAACCTGGAAAGGCTAACACCTTCCAGAAGAGCATCAGAGGGCGCTATGTCCGACCTACGTTGGGTGCGGTCGATTAGCTTACACGTGTTTTAAGTCAAACTTACACGAGAGTATTCATTTAGCCATCACGTGATCTTTGTGCCTGCCCTGGTGTCAGCCACCACTACCCTAGCTGGCGAGCAGGTCTTTGGAGGCTGCCTTAGGGTAATGACGTCACGGATGGACCATTCGAGCATGAACATCATGGAACGAACGTGGCGGGGACTTGACCTTTTTCCCAGAATGCCTTGGAGAAAACGCTGCAGCGTTCGATTAGCCTCATTCCGAGGCTTACCTTGCGTTCAACACGAAGCTAATCGAACGCACCCATTGTAAGTGTTTTGAAGTTTTCTTCGGTGGTGTATTTAACGTGAAGTGCAACCCACCAATACGAACATGCACGGTTGCATGGTGAGTGTAAAGCGATGTCCCTGTCGCTGAGCACCACTCCTTTATTTTGCCCATTTTTTTGGGCTCCAAACCTATGTAGGCAGCCTCAATTGTCAAGAAAATAGCCGACCATAGACAGAATAAATTGAACTCGAGTATAGGTTTAGCTTCGGGAGGCATATTATGTCAAGGAGAATAGACTCGAAATTGTAGATTCGTGCTAAGAATGGGCGAGACGAATCTACAGTTCCCCTCGCCCATTCGTAGCACGAATCTACAGTTCCGAGTCTATTCTCTGCCTTAATTAAACTATTTCCCATCCCATTGTTATACGAACATGGTGTCTCGGGTCTATGACGCTCTTGCTGTTACCCTACGTCTGAGTGCACATTCGCTCCATTCATTAATGTGCATGGGTTTGGGCATGGGTTTGGTAGTGTTCTTTCGTTTTGGACCGTTCAAAACACATGTAGATATGTACGACGAGCACTGTCCAATCGAAAGCAACCGAAAACAATGGAACCAGTCAGTAGTGTACCAGTCCAATCAGATGTTAGTGCTTGAATTGATTAGGCTTATACATGTAAACATAGAAATATGGAAGGGCTGCGTAGAACCATGATCAGAATATCGACGGGAATATAATATCAAATCAGTGCTCTGGAATATTCTGAATCTGCTTGCCCTGAAGAAGGTACTCAGTTACCGAAAGCTCGGCAATCACATATTTCAGAGCACTGATTTGATAGTATATTCTCGATACATGTATACATATGCAGTTTACGTGGGACTCAAATGCAGTTATAATGCATGCAAGCAGGAAAGTGTTGACAGTTTCGCAAGAGCGGCACATATCAGGCATGTTGAGCACGTGTCCAAGATACTGAGTGGATCGTCGTTTGAAGCAGGACAAAAACTATGAACTAAGTCTTTGTGTGTTGCATCTTTACGTCGCAAATACGCAGCTATGGCACAGTTGATTTTGAGGGCTGTGTCAAACGTATAGTACTTATGCTTTGTCGAATTCAGTTCATTTATGTAGAGGGGCCTACAGTCTGCATTTGCGTCAGACCCATTTAATTGAAGACGTGCAGTAGCGTCTTCAGGTTTTTGGTCCGGGGTAATGTTTTCCCTAAAACTGTACGTTCCATTTTTGGTCCCGTTTATAAAGGTACGCCCCCCGCTAAATAGAGGTACTGTTTGAAAGTTGCGGCACCAAATTCTAAAACAACGTCTTAATATATATCAATATATAATCAAGAAATCAGCGATGTATCTTTGGGGCATATTTTCAAACATTTTTTTGATATAATAAATGTAGCAATGCATATTATTCTTCCTATAAAGGGGTTACTTTTTATTGGATCCGGCAAGCACAATGATTCAGTCTGTTAATTTGACATTTGAAAGTGAAGACTACAAAACAAATTGATCTTAATTAACTTTATTTCAGCATCTTGGTTTCATTTCTTTAATAATATGCTATATTTCTCTAAATGCTATAAAATAATTTACAATTTCACAAAGAATTAAAGCAAAGAAACTAATCGTCGTTTTCTTGTAGTGGCCGTCCAATCGACGGTTCACTAATAAAGGAATGACGAGGAGAACTGTTGCATCTAAATATCAATGAACATCGACAGTTTTAGGTTTCTGCATTCGAAAATTTTGAACGAGGACAAGGAATTCACCGCTTGAAAAAGGGAGGTCGGCAAACAGACGTTGCAGTTGGCAACTTTTAAAACCTTTGAATTGAGCCTCTCCTTTTATCCGGCCAAATTTAAGGGATTTCTAAATTGCCTGAAATTCAAAGACCAATAAAGTACAATAAATTAATGTTTTTTTTGCATGCATAAATAGTTGGTCGTTCAGTTACAAGGGGTAGGAATGTATTATGACCAAAGCCGTAGTGGTTTTTAATGGGGATATTTTGCATTTTAGTGTCAAAGTTTAGCTAATATAACAGGATGAAACATTCCCTAGGGCCTAACAAAACATAGAGGGAAAAGTCAATAATATGTGCTTCCGAGTACTATTGTTTTGTGAAGATTTATCATTTTGTTTTATTTTTTTCGGGGAAATCAGGGAAAAGAAGATTGTACAGCCTGGGAACTTGCAAAGGCAAACTAAAAGTGCAGCTTCACAGAAACACCCGGAACAAATTGCTGAACGAATTCCAAAGGAAGGCCTGTTCTTCATCCTGGCCAACGCCAGGGGGAACGGAACGATAAAAATCAAAGTGCAGTAGCAAAGCATAATGAATGAAAATGCTAAAATGGGATTCATTACTGAAAGGCTACACTGAAAATCACGCCACTGTGAGGTGCAATCTTCAACATTGACTTGTCAGGCTGCGTGCTCTCACCTTATCTATTAAATATCCCGCACAGCTTCACGTCATTGTTTAGACGAACAATGACCTCAATGACGCCTATACTTAGCGCCCTCTACGTTAACTTGCATGCTTCATGTCCTAATATATACTGAAACTGCACGGAACACTCTGGGCGGTTAGTCGAGGTCGCGACTTGAAAATGCACAAGATTGTGTTCACTTCTGTGTACACTCATTTTTCATGCTGAGTTCGGAACTTTCTCAGTCTGTGAAAGTTCATTAAATATTCAACATTCCACTTCGTTAATATGTACACTTGGTCAGTCGTAACGCGCATAGGGCCTACATGATTGGACACGTTCTGAATAGGAGGTCTCTATTGTATTTCCTGAATTTTGATCGGATAATGATCGTCAACGGTCTAACGCATATACTAATGGTATACAACGAAATAACACTAGTCAAACATCGAGAGTATTGGTGCAGTCAACGCCATCAGTGCTGGATACATACATGTACTTGCTTCTCTTCCTTTTGCGTCTTGGAGTCTTTGTTACACGTGTGTCATTGCGGCCAAACCTATCGGTCCAACCACCACAGAACTCTATGAAATTGAGGAATGCTATATCAACTTCATGAGAGTATTTGTGCACTCAGTGCTGGATATATACCTGTATTCTCTTCATCTTGCACCTTTTATTCATTATTATACGGATGTCATTGCAGCAAAACCTTCCGGACTAAAACCACCACAGGACTTTATGAATTGAGGAATGCTATATCAACCTCGTGTAAGAATGGTTAGCACTTTTAGAACCACTTTACGAACCACTCGAAATGAGCTTCACTGATACTAATTCAGGTTCTTATAATATGAATCATTCGGAAATGACCCCTCACTACAGATTACTATTTCACTCGGAGAATGAGCAACTTTGGATTCAGATTACAATGCCTTTTTGGAATTAAATAATAAATAAAGAATTTATATAAAGCGCACATTTTCTCCTAAACTTGTATATACATGTAGCACTACAAATATTAGCAATACAAGAAAATTTACGGGCCAACTCTTCAAGCAAGATTATATATGTGCGCGGGGAGAAGCCATTCTGACAGATCTGTCAACTCAGGACCGCTATGATCTTGGGACAACTAGAAGATGTGTCAATTCAATTAAGCTATAATCCAACACTGTAAAAAAAGAGTGGGCAAGACCTAGACACAGAAATGCAGCCAAAATACATCAAGTTAATTCCTTATTGAAAGGTGAAGAGAAAATTCAAATCCTTGTTGAAAATTTTGCTTTACAAAGCACCCATCCTGAACACGCGAGGGATAACAACCTTTGTCATTTTCTATAGAGAAAGGCTAACATAAACAATAAGGCTGGAGTGTGGGCGTTCCCGGTATCCCTTAAATTTTTTAATTGTAGCTATTACGAGGCCCAATACAAGAGCCACGGCAGCAGTGCTTTGTTTATTCTTACCCAACCTGGTCCTCTGGTCACACTTTGGCCGAGTTCGGACGGCCTGTTCTTGACACTGTTTTCTTGTTCTCGAGCTCGAACGGCGGGAACACGACTCAAGAACACTGTTCTTGGAACAGGATCACACACCTCCTCCTCGTCAGGGTTTTATAGGAACACGCAGAAAACCTTGTGAGATTTTGATTTTTGAACAGCTGCAAAAAGTAGAGAGATGGCTTCCAAAGCCATAGACAATGGGAAGTTTTGCAAAATTAACATTAATTACTTTCCGTAGCACAGAGTGCTATGAATGAATGTTCCTGTTTATATAGAAAAGAATTCAGTCCATCCAAACATTAACTCTCGAATAACGTAGCCTACATGGACGCCGCCAATTGCATGTTGCTTGTCACTAACTACCAGCGATAACCAGTTGTTTGTTCCCAGTGTTCGAGCGGCCGACCCACGAACAACAAATTGAGCTGTTCGTGAACATACAGGAACAAGCCGCCCGAACTCAGCCTTTGATGATCGAAACGAGGAGAGGAGTGGAGATTAGCCTACCCCCTCGTCGACACAAATCCACTTTAACTGTATATTTGCGAAACATTAACTGTAGATTCGTCATGAATCTACTGTTATTGTTTTGTAACAATAACATTCTACAAGCTGTAGATTCGTATAAATAATCTATACTGTGAACAAAGTAGTGACGTCACAGAAATAGTTTAACGCCACCTAAGGCACTTTCTGCTAAATTTTCCAGAATTCTGGACGTAACTTAGTTCAATTTTCGGTAGAATGACGTTATACGTAGTTTTTTCTTTCCAATCGAGGACATTCTTTTGATTTTTATTACGACTTATACTTGCGTTATCTTTGTGGTTTGCGTCTGTGCGCAGGTATAAAATTGGAGACCGCCAAATCACTATCACCTTTTAATGCCCTACTTGGTACCCTGCGTAATATATTGTTTGCTGTGCAGAAGTTGGCCGCCGACCAGTTTTCCGCGTGCTATTCGGTTCGTAAGTGACTTTGTCACAAAGGAAGACGCGCCACAATTTACAGGCTCCCATTGGACGATCGCTGAAGTTGCGCGCTAACTTCCGGTCCCATGGTTCCAGTAAACGACGATCGATACATGTAACTCTATGAGCAGTTCATGTGCGGTGGGCGTGGTTCAAACTGAAGTGACGTCACACTGAAGAACAGTGAACTCGCACGATACGAGAACGCATGTTTGGCCACGTTGGCTGGATTGTTTAAAACCCTGCGCAGATCGGTTTGGCTACCCTCGGGATCCAATTTTTTGTAATTACGCAATTAAATGTGACATCAGAGGAGGTGACTTTAAAATGTGATGTGTGACTAATTACCATCCAGTAATTGAAAATAATTGGAGAAATGACAGCCAAGACGATAATGAGATTTCCGTATGACAAAGCCCAGGAATGTGAGCTACAATGTAAGTTATTTGAACATGGCTTTTTTGGTTTTACGCTGCTTTTTGCTGTGGTAAAGTGCACCATATATGTAAAAATTGTGGACCCCATAAGACTGGGATTTTAGCGGGGTTTCTTTGGTTTCTTTTGTAGCAGTAATGGAGAGAGGAGAAACACTCCTGTGAGACAGTTTGCTGGATTTGTACACATCAGAGATAGTCTACTACTCAACAGGTATGGAAACAGTTCACGTCTCATTCTGATAACAGCCTAACATTAACAGTAAGTAGGGGCCTATGCACAGTTGTTTTGTAAATCTGAGACATGACTTTTGACTCTAGCTGTTGGGGCCGGGATGACCATTTTATCGTCGATAAATAGTCTAAACAAACTGGAGGATACTTACGATTTGATGTAAATTAATAGGAAACATTTTAGTTTCAATACCCCACAAGAATTTGTCTGGAACCCAAGGCCTTTGAAAATAACAATCCAGGTGGAATGTTGGAAAACCCTTCAAGTATTTCTTGAATATGGAGAAACGTTAGTTCGTGTACGGTTCGTATAAGTTGTCGTACTGTGTGGTTGACAATGCAAAAGGTTTGGAATTTCTTTAAAACCCGTATAGCTGGGTTTTGTGTCCATGTATTTGTATGTAAAGCGGCTTTACATGCCACAAGTTTGGCTTTCTTGCGTTGCACTTGCACACATCTGGTTGGAACTCTCTGAGGGGCTTGACCTATAATTTATACAGACGGGGAGATGAAAAACCCAAGGCGAGGGTCTGTTTTGCTGCATTTACTGGTGAGTTTAGAATTATCTCAGAAGTCCTTTTAAAGAGTAATTTCGGAGGTTGCAGTTGTGTATTATATTTGCAAATCTGCAAACAGGTTTAGTTAAGGTTTGGCGTATTCAGAACCCATAATGTCACAGATACTCCTAGAAATAGCATAATACTGGGTTCGATTTGTTAAAATTTCTTCTTACTTAAGTTTGTAAGTTGTGATATTATATTGGCTACAAGACAGATCATTTATGATATTAAGTTTGACTCAAGTGAAATGGAACATGGTAGTGGTTACTGGAAGTTCAGTAATTCTCTGTTACAGTGTTGTATCCAGGCTCTTTGCTGGGGATAGGCGAGGTTCCATTGGCCGTTGTTGGGCACACCCTTGCCCTCGGCTCTTGTATAATGGCGGCCCTTTCAAGAAGCTTTGTAAAATAGATTTCTTCCAACCATTTTAAAAAGGTTCATTTTATCATTTCAGTAATGATGATTGCTTAAATTAGATTTTAAACTATATCTTACTCTGTGTAAAAATGTACAAGAAATGAGTTTTTTTTAGAGAGGGAGATTGGAATTTCATCTAAAAAGGTGGCCGGAGTCAGCCTGTAAGTGCCAACAGGCTAACGACAATGATCTCCGTTGATTCAAACGGGAGGGTGTGTCAACAAGGGATAAAGCACGCTGGATGGAATGTAAAAACTCTCGAAGCGTAAGTGCGTAAAAGTTCAGTCCATAATTGTGTCGTTGACAATGCAAATTCCAGGCTTGGAATCTCTATAAAACTCTATACATACATAGCTCTGTTTTCTGCGCCCACGGATTTATATGTTAAGTGGCTTTACGTGCAGTATGTTTTTCGATTTGTTTTTCGTTTTTGCTTAACAGTTTGGAGATTCCTATGTGCACATCTGGTTTAAACTCTGTGAGGGGTATCACCCTGTAATTCAAATTTACAGACGGAGGGAGGAAAGCCCAAGGCAAGGCTCTATTTTACTGTACTGACGGGTGAGTTTGCCCGTTATTTCGGAAGTAATTTGTAGGGTGTTGTACATAAATTTGCAAATCTGTGATGTACTAACGAGCATTTGTAACTCTACATGTGTGGTGGCCTAGAATGCGCATTCTGAGTGAAATGGGTGACGTGTGAACTCATGCATACTGCATAATTACGGAAAGTATTTTGTTGAATTTATTAATGTAAATCTAAGTACATAAATGTTTATTAATCAAACTAATTTTTTGTCGAGGGGTCTTTTGTGGGTGATGACTACAGTTACCAAAATGATCTCTGTCACAACTACACAAACCACAGGAATCATTTCAAACTTACAGTGTTTTGCATTTGGGAGTCCTGTATCACATCTGGTGCAATCGTGGCAAAGCTTAGATTGAACGTGTAGCTTGTTAATCCAAATGTTTTCAATGGACACGTTTCTGCCGAAGTTTTCAGAAGTGGTTGCAATATGACTTGATAAACAGATTTTAAACATTTTTCACTTTAATAGTGAATTAAACTTGACTAAATGACACACCGCCTGAAAGAGGATTAGCTTCAGTTAACCCTAACCCCAAGGGTGTAGGCTTATGTAAAATCGTATTGAAATTGGAGGATTTTGGAATAGTAGGGTTAATGTGCGGTGTTTTTAGAACCAAAAACCTCAAAGTAATTCCTGGAGATAGCATAATACTTTCAAACAATCAAGGATGGATTTATTAAAACATTTCTTTGGAACGTCGTACTGTGGTAGTAAGCTGTTAGAATAACTGGGCTACAGAATAGATCCGAGGAAACATTTCAGCAAATACATCCTTGGATGCTTTTTGCACATTTGTAGTTGTGATAATGAACCTGGCTACAAAACAGATAACTCCTTAATTGATATTAATTTTGACTTGAGTGAATTGGAGCATTAAAGTGGTTACTGGAAGTTCAAGAATTCTCTGTCGCAGTGGTGTAGTAGGCCTTTTGGGGACTGAACTACCCCTTTCCCCTCGGTCAAGCCACTGCTTTGTTGGCTGATAACATAACCAATTCAGTGAGACTAGTTATTAAAAAGATAGTTGAGGAATATGTTACTTCTCCTAACCATTGTATTTACCTTAAGAATATCTATCCTATGAAGTTCATTTTACCATAATGATGATAGTGACTATTCGAGATTATTTCAATGACAATTTTTATCTATGACAATATCTTACTCTGTTTGGGAAAAAGAGAGTCTGAGAAATTAAAGTTTTGGAGAAGGAACTCGACATTTTATCCAAAACAGTTGCCGGCAGAGACGATGGTCGATATCTTAATCCTAAACAAGGTGACATCGTTGATATCCGTAAAATCAATATGGGGTGTGTGTTTACAAGGACTTAAATACGCTAGATGTAATGTTGGAAAGCTACCTATTTCTTGAAAAAAAAGTAAGTTCGTATATATTGAGCCACATTCAGTCGTTGACAATGCAAATTCCAGACTTGGGATTTTCTATAAAACCCTGTTCTTATTGGAATGGTAACAGTCTGTTAATCTATGTTCCAACTGTGAAAGAGCAGGTAGGCCTGTTTTGTCTGACGTCATGCGGAAAAGCAAGAAAGGTCCTTTGTCGCGAATGGAATGCAGTTTTGTTCGTAATTTTCGTAGTTGCCAGTTGGATTTTTGTCGGAAGGGCACTCAGATTCCATGGGTAGCTGTTACATCTGAGGGTAAATTGATAGAGAAAAAAATAAATCCCAACAGATTAAACATTTTTGGAAAGCTGAATAGTGGCGCATAACATACGACAATGTAGCAGTTTGCAACTTGCCTAAATGCGGGCAAAACTTCAGTTACGGAATGATATTTTGTTGCTGTTTCGTAGTCGCGTATACACAAATCACAGTTTGTATGCTTAAGTGACTTACACTTGGATTCCTTGATTAGCTGTCTATATCTGACAGTACCGGTGACAAATCCAGAGAGTTTGTGCCATGTGAATAATTGGGTTACAACATAAAATAATTAAACGTGTCCAACTTCGTCAGTTATGCAGTGATGTTTTGTAGGTATTTTGTAGTAGAATCTGCCGTTTTATGCTTGTTAGACGGTTGTTAGCAGCAAATATCTGACGATGAATCGATGGAGAAAAATCAATTCTGACAAATTATAGATTGTTTTGAAGCTGGATAGGTGGCCCCAACATAAAATGATAAAAAATCTCGATTTTTCTGATTTTTGAAAAAAGTTGAGTTGTGCAGTGATGTTTTATTTGTGTTTCATAGTTCTGTTAAAAAACCAGGAACTGTAAAATTACACTATGTATGTGAAACGCGTTTTGTTAATAACCCACTACAGAGAAATCTTTCTCATTGTTTTGGTGTATTTGATAATGCCTTATGTATGGTCTGATTCTGTCACACTGGGTATGACAAATATGTACTTGCAGGTCCAATCATGATTTCAATTTGAGACGGGATGACAACTTATCAGTGCATCAGTGCTAAACCCACACTGGGACCCTGATTAAGGAAAAACCAGAAATTTGCACAGACTTGAAGCCAATCAGAATTTTCAAAAGGCAACTATAAACTGCTTCCTCAGCCAAGTCTGAGATCTGCAGTATAATCGAGTTTTCTGTGTACTGTGTACCGTAAATTTCAAGCCCTAAAAGGCCTAAATAACATTCAGCTTGACTGTGTACAGTCACATGTACAGGACATATTTTTGTATATTATTCAAAAGCTGATTAGTTGGGCTACAACATGAAATATCGAAAAGTCTCCAGTCTTCCTGGTTGTTAAGAAAACGTCGATTGTGCAGTGATGTTTTGTTGCTTTTTCGTAGTTTTGCATACTTGGCCATTTGTATCTTGTCAAAGTGCCACTTATATTCCTTGGAGAATTTCTCTCTTAAACATCTGGCCTCCTCTGTAACCAGGATTTATTACACCCCAGGGAAAGTTTCCTTACCTACGCTATCGATTTCACCATTTGTTACACTGCAGGTGCAGCCTACCCACAAATCGTCTCTCTGTCTGCCGGATCTCCTTTTCCAAAAACCCGGGCTGGAGAGAACCGAAATAAATTGCCTATGCGGTATCGTAATTCATCAGTGGACTGAGACATTCACGCATTGCAGCAGAGGATTATGTTAGTCTATCCAAAGACGTAGGTTTCATATCCATTTTTAATGTAGTGAGGGAAATATCCCTAAAAAGTTTCGGGAGTTCTTGTGCTACTGCTGTCTAGTTTAGTGCAATTCTACATTAAATTTTGTCCGGTCCGTACCCGCGCAAAGATATCTGCATGTATTGGAGCATAGATGACCAGAAGATTATCCAAATCTGCAAATCGACGTGGCATCTGAAAGGGCACAAACTCCTATATCCAATGATGTGTCATATTCATATTCTGTGTAGTAAGGAAAATATCCGCGAAAGAAGTCGAAAGATCTTGTCCTATTTCTTCCAGTTTTTGTGCTATTCCGCATTTTTTCGCACTTAAGTGATCCTGTTCCTGTTAAAAGATGTCTGCATATATTCAAAAATAACCTCAAAACTGTCCACATCTGCCAATCGTGGTGGCATGTGAAAGGGCACATGTTCTTCTGTCCAATCTTATAAGTTTCATATCAATATTTAATGTAGTTAATGAAATACACACGAAAGAAGGCAGGGTTTCTTGTGCTACTCTTAGCTATTTTTGAGTAATTCTACATTTTTCCGTCCTGTTCCTGCTCAAAGATGTCTCCATACATTGGAGCAGAAATTACCTGAGCATTGTCCACATGTATCAACCTTGGTGGCATCAGAAAGACTACATATTCCTGTATCCAATGATGTAAGTTTGATATCCATATTTCATGTAGCTAGGGGTATATCCGCAAAAGAAAACAAAAGTGCATGACCTACTGCTAGCTAATTCTTTGGAATTGAACATTTGTCCACCCGTTACAGGTTGTATTCCTGCGCAGAGATGTCAACGTATATTAGAGTTCTTGTCCTACTTCTTGCTATTTTTGTGCAATTATCCATTTGTTTGCACGTTGAAGGTCCTGTTCCCGGGCAAAGATGGGTCCATATATTGGATCATTAAAGACCTGAAAATTGTCAAAATCTGGCAATCCTGGTGGCATCTGAAAGCGAAAATGTTTTTCAATCCGTTGATGTAAATTTCATATCCATATTTGTTTTAGTTAAGAAAATATCCCCGATAGAAGGCAGAAGTTCTTGTCCTCCTGCTTGCTGTTTTGGTGCAATTCTCTCTTTGTCTGCACAATACAGGTCCTGCTCCCGCACAAAGATGGGTCCATATATTGGATTATAAAAAACCTGAATATTGTCCAAAACTGGCAATCCTGGTGGCATCTGAAAGGGCGAATACCCCTCTATCCATTGGTGTAAGTTTGATATGAATGTTTGTTTTAGTTAGGAAAATATAGGCAGAATTTCTGATCCTACTACTCGATATTTTTTGGAATTCCCACGTCATCTGCACATTACTGGTTCTGGTCCCGCGCAAAGATGGCTCCATATATCGCACCATGAAAGACCTGAAATTGTCCAAATCTGGCAATCTTGGTGGGATCTGAAAGGGAAAATATCTATCTATCCATTGCCGTAAGTTTCATATCCTTATTCATTTTACTTAGGAAAATAACTGCGAAAGAAGGCAGAAGTTCTGATCCTACTGCTCACTATTTTTCTGGATTTCCCACTTCATCTGCACATTATTGGTCGTGGTCCTGCGCAAAGATGGCTCCATATATCGCATCATAAAAGACCTGAATATTGTCCAAATCTGGCAATCCTGGTGACATCTGAAATTGAGAATGTCCTATCCATTGATGTTAGTTTCATATCTATATTTGTTTTAAGAAAATATCACCGAGAGAAGGCAGAAGTTCTGATCCTACTGCTTGCTACTTTTGTGGAATTTTCCATTTGTCTGCATATTACAGGTCCTGTTCCCTCGCAAAGATGGCTCCATACATTGGAACATAAAAGAAATGAAACTCGTCCAAATCTGGTAATCCTTTTGGCATTTGGAAAGGTTGAATGTCCTCCCATCCAATGATGTAAGTTTTAAACCCGTATTTGTTTTATTTAGCAAAAACATATACAAGAAAGAAGGCAGGAGTTCAGGTGCTATTGCTTGCAATTTTCCCTTTGTCTGCAAATAACAGGTCCTGTTCCTGCCCAAAGATGGCTCCACATATCGCATCATAAAAGACCTGAAAAACAACGAAATCAAAATCAGGCAATCCTGGTATTATCTGAAAGGGCAAATGTCCTTCTATCCGTTGATGTAAGTTTTATATCCATATTTGTTTTAGTAAGGAAAATTTCTGCAAAAGAAAGCAGTAGTTCTGATCTTACTGCCAGCTATTTTTCTGGAATTCCCTCTTCATCTGTACATTTTTTCCCGTTCCCGAGCAAAGAGGGTCGCATATATTGCATTATAAAAGAACTGAAATTGTCCAAACCTGGCAATCTTGGTTTCATTTGAAAAGGAAAACGTCTCTCAATCCATTGATGTAAGTTTCATATCCATAATTGTCTAAGTTAGGAAAATATCTTCGAAAGAAGGTAGAAGTTCTGATCCTACTGCTCGCTATTTTTCTGTAGTTCTCACTTCATCTGCACATATGTGTATTATTGTTTTTGGTCCCGGGTAAAATGGTTCCATATATCGCATCATAAAGGACCTGAAAATTGTCCAAACCTGGCAATCCTGGTGGCATCTAAAAGGAATAGTGTCATTCTATCCATTGGTGTACGTTTTATATAAATATTTGTTTACTTGCGAAAATATGTGCGAAAGAAGGCAGGAGTTCTTGTCCTACTGCTTTCTTTTTTTCTGCAATTCTCCATATGTCTGCACATTACAGGTCCTGTTCAGGCGCAGTGATGGCTCCATATAACGCATCATAACAGACCTGAAAAAAATCCAAATCTGGAAATCCTGCTACCATCGGAAAGGGAAAATGTTTTTCTATCCGTTGATGTAAGTCGGAGATCCCTATTTGTTTTAGGTAGAAAAATATTCGCAAAAGCGCTATTTTTCTGGAATTCCCTCTTTATTTCACATTGTTTTACCCGTTCCTGCGCAAAAATGGTTCCATATATCGCATCATAAAAAACCTAAAAATGTTAAAATCTGGCAGCCTTGGTTTTATCTGAAAGGGAAAATGTCCCTCTATCCATTGATGTACGTTTCATATCCATATTTGTTGTAGTTAGGGAAATGTCTGCAAAAGAATTCGGGAGATTTTGTCCAACTGCTTCCTGAAGTAATTCTGACTTGAATTGCACCGGTCCTCTCCCGCATAAACCATTCTCTATATAATCGAGCATCAAAGGTATAAAAAATATCTAAATCTGGCAATCGTGGTGTAATCTAAAAGGGCACATGTTTCTTTATCCATTTATGCAAGTTTCATATCCATGATTGCTATAGTTAGGGAAATATCTTCAAAAGAAAGTGCGAAGTCTTGTCCGACGTCTTCCTATTTTTCCGTAACTCTGACTCTCCCTGCGCTATATTGGTCCTCTTCCCGCATAGAGAATGCTCCATATATTCTAACATAAAAAGTCGAAAAATTGTCTAAATCTGGTAATCGCGGTGTCATCTCAAAGGGCACATGTTACTCTATCCATTCATGTGAGTTTCATATCTATATTTTGTGTAGTTAGGGAAATATCTTAAAAAGAATGTTTCCAGTTCTTGTGCAATCTTATTTTTGCTTAATTCTGATTCAGTCTGCTCTCTACCTGTCCTGTTCCCGCACAGGGAATGTTCCATATATTCGAGCATAGAAAGTCTAAAAATTGTCAAAATCTGGCATTCGTGGTATAATCGCAAAGGGCACATGTTCATGTATCCATATATATGAGTTTCATTTCCATATTTGCAGTTGGGAAATATCTTCAAAAGAAAGTGCGATTTTTTTGTCCAACTTCTTTCTATTTCTGCGTAACTCTGACTCTGCTTGCGCTATATGGTCGTATTCCAGCGTAGATGGTGCTCCATATATTCGAGCATAAAAGGTCAAAAAATTGTCTAAATCTGGTAATCGTGGTGTCATGTCAAAGTGCATACAATACTCTATCATGTCATGTAAGTTTCATATCTATATTTGGTGTAGTTAGGGAAACATCTTCAAAAGAAAGTGCAAGTTCTCGTCCAACTGCCTCTTATTTTTGCTTAATTCCGATTTTGTCTGCCCTTTACCTGTCCTGTTCCCACGAAAAGAAGGCTCCACATATTCGAGCATAAAAGGGCTAAAAATTGTCTAATTCTTACAATCTTGGTACAAGGGCACATCTTTCTCTATATATTCATGTAAGTTTCATATCAATATTTGCACTAGTTAGGAAAATATGTGCAAAGGAAGTGCTGGTTCTTGTCTGGCTGATTTATATTGTTGCTTAAATCTTACTGCGCAATTCTTTGTCCTGTTCCCGCACAGAGAAAGCTTATTCGAGCATAAAAGGTCTCAAAATTATCCAAATCTTGTAATCTAGGTGTCATCTGAAAGGGCACATGTTCGTCTATCTATTCATCTAAGTTTCATATCCATATTTGCAGTAGTTAGGAAAATATCGTCGAAAGGAAGAACATGTTCTTGTCAGACTGCTTCATATTTTTGCGTAATTCTGACTTAGCGGTATATCGGGTCCTTTAGTTGCATAGGGAATGCTTATTCGAGCATAAAAGATCTCAAACTCATCCAGATCTTGCAATCTAGGTGTCATCTGAAAGGGCACATGTACCCCTATCTGTTCATATTGGTTTCAAATCCATATCTGCAATAGTTGGGAAAATATCTGCAAAAGGAAGTAGCCGTTTTCGTCTGACTGCTTTATGTTTTTGAGTAATTCTGGCTCAGCGGTATACCGGGTCCTTTACGTGCACAGAAAATGCTTGTTCGAGCATAAAAGGTCTCAAACTCATCTAATTCTTGCAGTCTAGGTGTCATCTGAAAGGGCACATGTTCCCCTATCTATTCATCTAAGATTCATATCCATATTTGCAGTAATTAGGGAAATATCTTCAAAAGGAAGAACATGTTCTTGTCAGACTGCTTTATATTTTTGCGTAATTCTGACTTAGTTTCATATCCATATTTGGGGTAATTAGGGAAATATCTTCAAAAGGAA